CTGTCCTGTAGTGCAACTCCAAATGGGTCCAGGGAATCTTGTGGATCTCCAAACACCTTTCTATTCATAGTACCATTCCTGTAGTTGTCTCTATCCAATTTTTTTCCTCCAGCAGAGGGAGATACAAATGGCTTCCAATTTCTGTATCTAAGATTAATTAGAAAGTGGTGGATTTAATCCCCAAATAAAACATATCATTCTAATGGAAAGGTACGTTTTTCTGAGCTCCATCACAGTGACATTGGAGCACTTAATCCCTGTGCATGAATGTGTATTTGTACAACTGTTTGTACAGTTTTGGAAAAACTGTTACACACAAAATCTACCCGCGCCTTCTATAATTTTGTAAATACCAAACTTAAAGACTCAAAAACCATGCCATCCCTAGAAGGTCCTAACAGGAAAGACTATAACGATGAAGCTGCTAAGGCCAATATTTTCAACGCGTTCTTCAGTTCAGACTTTGTCAGGAACAATGGCTCATGCCCCACATTTCCTAATCGTACCACAATTAATTGCAATTATCTGCTACATGTTGATTTTACAGAAGATAACGTGAAAAGGCACTACGCAAACTAAAACCATCTCTATTATGTGCCTTTTTCTTTAAAAAGCTTTCCACTGCCATAGCCAAACCACAGTCTACAAGATATCTTTTAGAATCAGCTCCTTGCCCGACCTATGGTCATTAGCCACAGTTATTCCTATCTTCAAAAAGGGAGACCCCAGCCTAGTTGAAAATTACAGACCAATCTCATTATGTTGTGTCATCTGCAAAGTCATGGAATCCATCATACACCAATCCATTACCCTTCACTTAGAGACAAACAACTTACTCTCTAACAAACAGTTTGGCTTTAGAAAAAATTTGTCCTGCAATCTAACAACTCCTACGCTGCAGAAACATTTGGACTACACAACTCGACCAGGGTAAAGCGATAGATGCAATTTACATAGGCTTCTGCAAAGCCTTTGATTCAGTGGTACACGACAAACTAGTTAAAACTATGCTCTTAAGGCATTTCTGGATTACTGCCCAAATAGATAGCTGCATTCCCATCTAACAGGCAACAAGTAGTCAAAATAATGAGTGCCCTATCAAACACTGCACCAGTTAACAGCGGTGTCCCCCAAGAAGTGTTCTAGGACCAACTCTCTTTCTAATTCACGTAAATGATCTTTTCAATCATATTATAAGCAACTGCGTCCTCTTCGCTGATGACGTACAACAATTTAACACCACTGACAATACTGCTACCCTACAAAGCGACCTTGACTATGTGTCAGAATGGTCGAACAATTGGCAACTTCAAATCTCAACCAACAAATGCTCTGTCGTATGCATTGGCAACAAAAATCAGAACACTAAATACAAACTGGGCTGATACAACTTCATAGACTCTGTCAAGGACCTAGGAGTATTCATTTCAAAAGATCTAAGCCCCAGAGCTCACTGTAACAGGATTGACAAAAAGACATTAAGAGTTGTTAATCTAATTTTGCGAAGCTTCTTCTCCGGGAACATTGAACTGCAAACTAGCGCATACAAAACTTTCGCCAGACCAGTTCTCAAATACAGTTCATCTGCCTGGAATCCACATTAGATAATGGACATTAACACAATTGAGCGAGTCCAGAGGTATTTCACGAGAAGAGTACTCCACTCCTCTACTCACAATAGAATACCTTATGCCAGCAGGCTTGGAATATTCGAACTAGACAACTTAGAACTATTCCACCTATGGTCTGACCTAAGCTTAGTACAAAAAATTGTCTGCTACAACATCCTTCCTGTCAATGACTACTTCAGCTCAGCTGCAATAATACACGGGCAAACAATACATACAAACTCAAAGTAAACCACTCCAAACTCGATTGCAGAAAATACGACTTCAGCAACAGAATGGTCAATGCCTGGAACTCACTACCTGACTCTGTTGTTATATCCTCAACCCCCCCTAAAGTTTAACCTTAAACTGTGTACTGTGGATCTCTCACCTCATTCCTAAGAGGTCTGTGAGTGGGTGTGCATAAGCACCACCAGTGTGCCTACTGTCCCTGTCCTACTGTTCCCATTTATTTGTACTCATTATCTATACACTTATATACCTGTTTATACTTATATGTTTATGTTATGTTCATACTTATACTTGTTTTCTCATGCATGCTTGACAAACAAACAAAATAAAATAAAATAAACAAATAAACTTTGGGATTGGTCTCTATCATGGACTCGGATCACTGAATAAATGCATTTTTGATCATTTTCAGTTGCTTTTTTCTCAGAAAGTAGGACTTGCTTTATAAAAACCCAAATCTGCTTTACTTGCAAGGGGGTTTACACAAACTCTAACAGATGAACAAACCATAAAAGCTCACTTTTTAAAAAAAGGAAATGCCCAAAAGTGACTTGCTTTGGATGTTCCCTTTCTTCAGGGTTTCCTTTTTTAAGAGCCAAATCACAGAACTGCACAGGCAGATTCCCAAACATACCCCAAACACAAAGAGGCTAAGCAACTGTTCACATGAGACACCGAGGTTGATGAGGTCCTGGTTCACTCACCCTCCTAAGAGAAATTGAACAGCTGAGGATGCAACCCTATTTTAGCGTCCTCCAGCACAGAAGGAGAAGGCGGGCACAATGTCCTGTAGTTCCTCCCTTGCAACCATGTCCTTCTTTCCTGCTCCAGACTTGCCCTCCAAGCTCTCCCCATCTCCCACCTCGGAGCTCTGTCCAGGCTATGAGGGGGTGAAGGATTCCCCCAGGACCCTTCCTCCTCTCTGGGAATCTGTTCCCGGGGCAACGCGGCTCGTGCTGAGCACCGCTTCCAGCACCCGTTTAAACCTCTTGCGGTGCTCAAAGGGTGCAAAGGGGACAGAGTGCTGGGTCCTAGACAGAACGCAGTAATGTCACTTCCCTCCCATTCTCCTATGGTAATTCACCCCTGGCGTTCGCCCTACAGTGGCCGAATGGTGAATCGCACGTGTTCTGTTCTTTTTCTGAGGGACTCATCTGGCGAATTCTTTTTTTTTTTTTTTTGTAAATTTTATTTGAGTTTTCACAAAGAGAAAAAAAATACAAATAAAACATCTTTTTTCCAGGGTGGAGCAGGCGATTGGACTAGATGATCTCCATGATCCCTTCCAGCCCTAGATTGCTGTGCTGTTTCAGAGTCTTCTGAAGCCAGGGTTTGAATCCTTCCTTCCTCTCCTTTTTTTTCTCCCTCCCTCCCTCCATGTATCTATCCATCTATATTTTTCATTCACATTCTCATTCCTCCCTCCCTTTTTCTTTCTTTGTCCCTTCCTTCCATCTCTCCCTTTCTTTGTCTCTCCCTTTTTTCCTTTCGCTTCCTTTCTCTTTTTCCTTCTTTCTCTTTCTTTCTTCTCTCTTTCTCTCCCCCCCCTCTCTATGGGTCTCTCTCTCCCCTCTGTATCTGTGTGTGTGTGTGTGTGTGTGTGTGTGTGTCTCGAGCGACTGCCAAAGTACAGCAAAACTGGGCGTGGGGCGGGCAGCTGTGGCTGGCAATAGTTGTATAGCCAGTCTGGATTCCAAAACAAAGAAATGAAAGTAGCGAAGAGCACCAAGGAAGGAGAACTTGCTGGCTTGGCCCAGCCGCGGATTTGAGGGAGGGGGAGGGAGGGAGAGAGAGAGAGAGAGAGAGAGAGAAAACAGACACACAGAGTTGGAGAGTTGCGTTTGTGTGTGCGCTTTACCTTTTAAAATTCTTGATTTTCTTTATCTTTTAAAAATCCTGGTAATGTCCTTTATTTATGCCCTCTTTAAAAGATTCAAAGCATGTTTTGAAGGTGAGGCATGTGGTGAATAACACAATTATCCCAAAGAGGAAAAAAAAAGAACATTGGTTTGTTGAGGCTCAATGACGGCAAGAAACAGTATCCAGGAGCTTGAAGACTTCATTTCATGCAGCTTTTGCATGGATGAAATTTCTGCTCCTGTTGCGTGGGAGATTGGTTGGGGCTGTGGAAACTGGAAGGGAGCATGTTGCTTCTGGAATACTTACAGGAGTATAGTTTTCTCTTTCTTTCTCCCTCCCTCTCTGTTTCTCATCTCTCTCCTCCACGGCAAGAGCAGCAGCGTCAGTCAGTGTCTCGGGAGAAAAGTGTCCCCCCCCTCCCCATATTCCTCCCTTGAGTAGCCTCACGCAGCACCAAACTTAGCACCAAATTTAGCGCGCTTCACAAATGAGGAGGCGCCATTTGTGAAGCGCGCTAAATTTAAAGGTGCTACACAGCGCGTTTCCCTCCCCCCATATTTCCCTTGCCGTGAGCAGGCTCGCGCTGCGCAGCACCTTTAAACTTAACGTATGTTACAAATGAGAAGGGGATTCCAGCGCCCCCCCCCCCATTTTCCTCGCTGCAAGCAGCCTTGCGCTGCGCAGCACCTTTAAACTTCCCGCATTTTACAAATGAGAAGGGGATTCCAACTACATTTATGAAGCGTGGCTCCCCCCCCCCCATTTTCCTCGCTGCAAGCAGCCTTCCCAGCCTCACTTCCCCAAGGGGGAAGCATAGCAGGGGGAGGAAAGGCAAGCTGTTGAGCCCCTGCCCAGGGCTTGCCATACCTGGGGGGAGGGATGAAGCAGCAGCAAGACTGCAATGGCGATGGGGGCAATGGTACTCAAAGGAACGCAATGGCAGCGATTCTGGCGGCGGCGGGGCTTCCAGGACCAGCTCCCCACCCCGCCATCCATCAGCTGTTTGTGTGGGCAAGGAGGGGTGGGGCCGACGGGGAGGGGCGGGGCCAGCCAGGGATGCCGGTTCTCCGAACTGTGCAGAATCATAACATCCGGTTCTATAGAACTGGTCAGAACCGGTAGAATCCCACCCCTGCTTTCGTCTATGGGGTGGGTTTGGGTTTGAGTCTGGTGAGGGAGATTGGTGGTGGCGTCATGTGTTGTTTTGGGTCTGGTGTTGGTTTTCCTGGCTGGGACTCATTTATTGCTAAGGGCTAGTTTCCAGATGTCTGGTAGGCGGGAGGTATCATCCCGTTTATTCACGTTATGGGGGTGTTTCTCTATTTCGATGGCTTCCCTGATTACTCTCTTGTTGAAGTGTTCAGTATTGGAGATTAATTTGGTTCCCTTAAAATTAATTTCATGTCCTGTGGCTTTAAGGTGCTGGAAAAGGGAGGAAATATTTTCTTCTTTTCTGACTGCGTTCTTGTATTCTGTGATGCGTGCATTTATTCTCCTATAGGTTTGTCCAATGTATGTGGCTGGGCAATAGTTGCATGGTATTCTAGCTTGGTTTTCTAGCTGAATCTTGTCTTTGGGGTTTCTTAGGATGTTGGCTATTTTTTGGTCAGTGCCAAAGGCTGTCCTGATATTGTGCCTGTGGAGAATTTTGCTGATTTTATCTGTGGTGCCTCTGATGTACGGGAGGAGGGCGATACCGTTGTCCTGTTTTGTGTCTCGGTTTCTGGGGGTGTCTCCTTTAGGATTAGGTTGGTAATTGTGTTTCTTTGGAATCCATTGGAAATTAATACTGTTAGTGAGGGTGTGTAATTCTGTTCTCAGGTGGTCTTTGTCAGCTAGGCGTTTGGTTCTGGAGATGAGGGTCTTGGCTACGGAGTCGATCTGTGCAGGGTAGTGATGGGATTGTGCGTTTAAGTAGCAGTTGGTGTGTGTTTTCTTCTGGTGGATGGTGTGTCCTAGGGAGCCATTGGGTTTTTGTAAATTAGGACGTCCAGGAAGGGAAGTTGGTTGTTGGCTTCTGTTTCCATGGTGAATTGAATTTTGGGGTGTAGGCTGTTGAGGTGTGTGAGGAAGTTGTCCAGTTTTTCTTTCCCGTGTGGCCAAATTACGAAAGTGTCATCTACATATCTAAGCCAGAGTTTGGGTTTGTGTTTAGATTTGTCTAGAGCATTGGTTTCAAAGTGTTCCATGTATAGGTTAGTGATGATGGGTGAAAGGGGTGATCCCATAGGTGCTCCTTCTATCTGTTTGTATCTTTGTCCATTGTGGATGAAGTATGTGTTGGTTAGGCAGTGGTTGGTCAGATCTAGGATGTGCTTAGGGGGGTTGTATTTGTTTTGGATGGCTGTCAAGGCTTCTTTAGTAGGTACTTGGGTGAAGAGGGATATGACATCAAAGCTCACGAATAGGTCGCTGGGTTGTAGGTTTTGTTTTTTTATTGTTTCTATGAAGTGGAAAGAGTTTTGTATGTGTGAAGTGATGGATTCTGTGTAGGGCTGGAGTTGTTTGGCAAGAAATTTGGCAAGATTCTGTAGAGAATCTTGAAGAGATCCAGCAAAGAATCATCCCCAGAGAAAAATCATCCAGATGCCCTAAACTCTATGGCCTCCCCAAGATACACAAAGAAGGAACACCACTCAGACCCATAGTCAGCTCCATAGGCTCACCTCTACAGAACCTTGCCAAATTTCTCGCCAAACAACACCAGCCCTACACAGAATCTGTTGCCAAGATACTCTCAATCTTACACGGGAAAAGACCCGAACACACCTATCCTTTTTTTTTCACCCATTGTCTCTCACTCTTTTAACAATATAATTTCTTTTCATTGTTTGCTTCCTGTTTCTCTTTATTTTCTGGTCCTTCCTTGTAATTCCCTTTTCCCCCATTCTTATTCCTCTCCATTTCTCATTCCAATTATTAACTTTTTCTCCCTCCCTCTTTTGGTTTTTCTTTTGAACTTCCCTTTTTAGCCTTTCCCCTCTCCTTTTTTCCATTTTCTGAACTATTTTCCCTTTTATTATCACATCAGACCACACATTTTTAATTTTAATTCCTTTCCCCTCCTGCTTAAATAATTGTTGATCCCTTTGTTCTTCAAGGCTGGCTTCTTCGTTAAAATCCTCCCCCTCTGGTTTACTTTGTTCTTCTACAAGCTGGGTCGCCATTTCTAATTTCTGTAATATATAATTACACATTTCAAATCTAATTTTCATCATTTCCCTTATATCTTGCAAATCGGATCTCATTTCAACAAATAGTTCCTCCATTGTATCTTCTCCTCTTTTCCTTTCCTCTTCCCTAATTGACATATTCAGTCCCAAAGTCCAGTATATTATTTCAGCCAGTGTCTTTTAAGTTTATTTTTAACAATCAACGTCCTTAAGTCTTTATTCCAAATCTTCAAGTAGCCCTTTTCCCAACTGTTTCCCACAATCACCAGGTGGTTCTATGTCAATATTTTCAAGTGTCTTTTCCCCTTTGTAGTATTCTAATGTCACTTTCTAGGTTTTTATTTTTTTATAATGGAGTTTCTTTTACTTTCTTTTAAGTTCCAAAGTCCAATTTCTTAGAAAGACCACCACTTTTTTAAAAAAAAGTCACTGAAGTTTTTCCTGTACCATCAGGTGGCACTCTTGAGTCTTTTCCACAGTCCACTCCTTCCTTAACTGTAACTTTGTTAAATACAGTACTTTTATTAAATTCGCTAATTTCAATCATTAGCTATTATTTCTTTTCATTTCAACATTCAATTTCAGCATTTAGTTATGCCCTTGAAGTGCCAATAATGCAATAGTTGTCCAGTTTAATTTCTAAACCTTTTTTGTGTTCAAATATTTTCCTTTAAATTTTCTCCTCCAAATTAATCCAATACAATAAGTCAA